GTCCCTCAGAGCGGCGGCGGCGATGTCCGAGCCGGAGCACCTGGGCGGCAAGCGGGCCGAGTCGGCACGGCTGCGGCGGGCCGAGCAGCTGCGGCGCTGGAAGGGCTCCCTGACCGAGCAGGAGCCGGTGGCGGCGGGGGGCGGCCGCAGCCGGCACCGCGGCGCGGGGGGATCCCGCGTCCGCTTCGAGGAGGGCGCCGTGTTCCTGGCCGCCTGCTCCAGCGGCGACACCGAGGAGGTGAAGCGGCTGCTGGGCCGCGGCGCCCGCATCAACACCACCAACGTGGACGGGCTGACAGCCCTGCACCAGGTACCGGGGCCGGGGGGACGGCCCGGCCGTGGGTTCCCTCGGTCAGCACCGGGCCGGGGGGCACAGCGGTACCTGCAGCCCCGGCCGGGGGTGTTGGTAAACAAAGGGTTCAATACACGTTGATGCGAGCCTCGTCCGGCCCATTCAGCCTGTGTTAGATCGCAGTCGGAGATGGTTCCAGTCGGGCAGCAGGATATACCAACTTCTCACATGGTTATTAAATAGCCTAATTAGCAAAATAAAGCATGGGACTGGTAGGGTTGTGGGCCTGACCAGGTGGCCAATTTATTAATTTGTTGAAAACTTATGCCTTTGTGATTGAGGTTTCCTGAAGTGGCAGCAGTGCCTGGAAAATTTCCCGGGAGGAGGGCTGGTTTTGCAAGGTCAGGAGTGTCTGGTCAGCTCTTAAGTTGTGTTTTATCAGAGTTGCCTTGAAACTCCCCAAAATGCTCCTTGACAGAGAGCACAGAGTGCCCACATGGCCGATAAGCAGTGTAGATTCTATTAATATTCATCCAAATCTGAAGATGATGCAAAGTGGTCGCAGGAATTGGCTGCAGAACGATAAATCCTTGACTGTCAAGAAACATCTRCTGTGTTCCGTTCATGGCTTTTGCTGCTCTTGCATAAATGAGCAGGAATGCAAGGGAACATGCAAAATTGCCACCCTGGAATATTGGGAAACCTGTTGCTGTCCAAGACTGATTGAGAATTTAGCAGGGCGTGTGAAATCAGTGTCCCAGATTGGCGCATCTGGTCAGTGAAATGAATCTGATTTGGATCTGGGCCAGTTGCAGGAAGAAAATTTTCTTAGGTCAAGATCGTGTAGATTAAGCATGTAGTGTAGCAATAGGAGTGGGGAAAAAAGCAGAGTTCAGGAATAACATCTGGAAGTAATGTGTTTGTAAAGAATAATGTGTTGATGGCACAAATAGCAGTTTTTGAGTTAATCAGGATTTCTTCTTCGCTGCACTGATGTTACTGAAGCATTTGGGACATACACAAGGCAGTTCAGGAGCTCTCTGGCTCCTGGCTGTCAGGGAACAAGGAGCAGGGAGATTTATTCATTTTGGTTTGGACTTCCAAAAATAAGTTGTGAAGCAAAAGAGCATGCAAGTTTACAGACTGTCAGGTTGAATAGTACTTCAGTTGGCAAAGCAATGAACTTTGTAATCAGGCTGGGCCTTTTTCTTGGTTATTTGTGGCATTTGGTATAGCAGCAGCAAATAAATTGCCCTGTATTAGTAACCTCCAGTACAGCATGTGTATGTACGTTTATTATCAGATAAATAAGTGGTCCTGTAGACACGAGTAAGAGCCAGCTACTGAAAAGTTGGTTATTCAAAGCATTTTGACAGCCAAGAAGGCTGAATTTAAAATGGATACAAGTGTAGTAGAGTTGGGATGACTCCATGAGGGCTTTCCAGCCAGGATTAGTTGTGATCCCCTTAGGAGGGTCCTGGTCTCTTGCTGATGTGGGTAATGTGAGGTGTCTGGTGAAGTGCACTGGAGTCCTACGACAGGCGATGAGCTCAGCAAGGTCACACTGCTGGAGACCACAGCGAGCCATGTATTGACAGGCAGACTGCAAATTGAATTCTGTGTACGTAAAGGATACAGAATTGTATCATCTGTGTCTTAGGAGCACAGTATCGGGTGACGCTGACCAGTAACACCTAGGGCTTGATACTTGGAAGAGCGTTGGGATAAGTGAGCAGTGGAGCAGATGCGGGCATTACCAGCCAGCTGCTTACGTGAAGTGTTTCTTCACAAAATTAACGGGAAGGGAAGGTGGCCTTACTGTGATTGGAATAAAAACTTTGTTCCAATGTCCCATGGATGTAATAACATTTTTGCTGACGATTGACAAGATGTTCTTGCACACCCAAATGGAGCAAACACTGTTTTGTTAAAGGTTTTGTTGTACATGTGTGTCCTGAGTCTGTAAATCTCTATCAGATGAAAATGTTTATTGGCATGGTTGGGGAGGTTGTTAGGAGTTCCTTTCACTCAACGTGTCCAAAACAGGTTTGTTTCCATATTGCTTGGAGAATAATGCTTCCTGTGGTAAAGTGTCAGCTGAGGCCAGTTAATCTGGGGGTCCCCATAGTGCTGCTTGACAACTTGAATGATGTAGTACATATGAGGATATTTAATAACTTATTTTAGTATCAGAAGCACAACATTACCTTACAGGGCAGATGGTAGTGACTTTCTGTTGTTCAATACCTGTGCAACCAAATGGCCACTCAGTGAGGAAGGAAATCCTACACACTGAAAAGAGCTGGCTTTGTTGACAGAAAGCTCAGGTAGAATTTTTTTCTTTGGTTAAAGAATTTAATATGTGAGACTTGCTCTGGACAAGCAAACAGGTCTTTTTAGGTAATGGAAGGGTTAATGAAGTCAATTGACTTAATTTGTCAGAGTCGGCAGCTGCTCCCACAAAACCTAAGACCAATCTTACAAATCGGGTTAGTTTGTTTGAAATGCAGGGTGGCCCCAAATGTTATGTGTGTTCACAAAGGTAAAATTACACTTTCTCTGGTATCTGGGCCACTGTGACTAAGACCCATTGTGTACTTGCTGTGTGAGAAGCTGGCTTGGCTATTTATAGCCACAAAGCTGTATTTTGAAAATAACCTTTTAAATTACAAGTGGTGTTTCTGAGTCTCGGGCCTGTGTCATTGCCCTCTTTGGAGGCATCATTGCCTCTTTGGAGGTGGAGCACAGACCTGCACTACAGCCTCTGTCTGGTACCTGTAGGGTGGGTTCAGCTATATTTTATCTACCTCAGCACCTGCAGAATGCTGCTGGATGAAAATCAGTCCCAGTGATTAACTTAGACTGTATTTAGTGAATTGTTTTTAACAATGATTTTGTGTGTAATGCAGAAGGGAAAGGGAGATGCTAATTAAATCTGAGTGAACATTTAGAAATCATCAAGAAAACTGCTATCGGTGAAATGAACTATTGGTGGCAACTGATCTTCTCTAGTGTTTGCAAGTAGTGGGAAATGGGCATGAACTGCTCCTCTGTCTCCTGGGCAACAGATAAAACCAAAGAGTAAACTTGTATGAAAATGGAGTCTTAAGGGAAAAACATTCTGCTGCTTCTAGCTGGGAAAGCATCTCCCAATGTAATAATAGGAATGCTTGTTTGTCTTCAAGGACTGGTTTACAAAGGATGACAGCAAAGATTGTTTATCCTCTGTCTGCCCTTTGATGATCTACTCTGTTTCCCTTTGGCCTGTTCCAAGGAGAAGTGAGTTGCTCATGAAATAACTCCTGTGTAATTTACAGTACTCTGCAGTACCTTGGTGCTTGCTGTTGACTTTGTTTTCAGGTGCTGAGTGCCTGTGCTAGTTCAGGAGCAGCTTCCTGGGTACTTTGTGCAGTGACTTTGGGTTAAGTGTAGGCTGTAGCCTCTCTGACAGATCCCAGTCTGTTCTTCCTCCTTCCGAGCCAGAGCTGTAAAACTGCAGGCATGTCTGGTTGCTCCTCAGAGCTTTATCAAGTGGCATTCATGTCAAAAGGGTTGAGCAATTTTCAGTTGCTGCTCAGCAAATTTGCCCTTTCCTCATACAGGCTGTGTACGGTTGTAACCAAGTGGGAAACAGCAGAATTTTTGGATAGTCCAGAAACTGCACGGGGTTAATAGAGAGCCTGATCATACCAGTCTGGAGACTGTTGGAAGAGTCGTTAAGGTGCTAACACTGGAACAAAATCTGGGGACTCAGGGGAAGGAATAGAGGATTCCTCTGTGAATTGTTGCTTTTTCTGCTGAGGACATCACAGCTGGAGAACATGGAACAAAGGGTTGGAGCTGCAGTACTGGCTGAAGCAACCTGGGTTTGTTTTAGAGGATAACTGATGCAGATCTGACAGCCATTGTGCATTCTGAGTGCTCCTATGGCCACAGCCTCTAGTAGAATCATGGAATCACAGATTCACTGAGGTTGGAAAAGCTCTCTAAGATCATTGAGTCCAACCATTCCCCCAGCACTAACATGTTCATCACTAAACCATGTCCCTAAGTGTCAAAACGATACACTTTCTGAACGCTTTCAGGGATGGTGACTCCACCACCTCACTGGGCAACCAGTGCCTGATCACCCATTGGGAAGGCCCAGGGCCTGATGACCCATTTGGGAAGAAATTGTCCCTAATATTCAACCGAAACCTCCCCTGGTGCAGCTTGAGGCTGTTTCCTCTTGTCCTGTCCCTGTTCCCCAGGAGCAGAGCCCAGCTGGCCCCTGCTCCTGTAAAGAACCCGAATGTCCCCCCGAGCCTCCTTTTCTCCAGGCTGAGCCCTGCGCACCCCCCCCCCCCCCAGCTCCCTCAGCTTCTTCTGATTCTCCAGATCCTTCCCCAGCTCCATTCCCTTCTCTGGACATGAAATGTCTTAATCACCAAAACGTAACAGCCAGCCCATGCCTTGAAAGGTGAGGAGATAGAACAACTTACAGTGACATGAAAGCTCTAGAGTGTATGTTCAGGTGCCCCATCTTTGGGGCATCACAGCTGTGCATTAAGGCAGTTCAGCTTCTGGTCTTTAAATTGGTGATGATAGCATCATAAATCAGGCTGCATTTTTTAAGACTGGGTGGCTGCATTGCCTAAAAATACATTAATTCCTGGAATAGAAGGTTATCTAGGGATAGTCATACCTTTTCCACCACCCTGTGCAGAGTTCCTTTCTGAAGGTGTTCTTCTGCCAGGAAAAGCAGAAGTTGCAAGCTTCTTGTGCTGCATGTAACACTGCTCATCAGTGTGAAATATGGCTCTGTCAAAAATAGGGTTTATCACTAGGGTGAGTGAAATGGGGTTTTTGGGTTTCAGTTATAAATGGGACTACAGTAGCACGTATCATCCCACAGTGTTCTGAATAAAGTGAGAGAGCTTGGAAGGTGCCTAAAATACACCAGGAATTTATTAGACAAAATAGTTAAAATCTGAAGTACTGTTTTATCAACCTCATGCTTTTATTTTCTTCCTTTTAGC